CCCCCCTCCCTTCACACCGACACACGACACACACGAGATTTCGTATTTTGCTGACGTGGCACGGGTGCATGGGTGCAGTGCTTGTGGAGGGCCAGGGAACGCCGAGCGAGGAGTCGGCGCTGTTGGCAGCGTCGGGCAAGCTCGACCTGCACACCATCAACTAACAGCTCGAGCACAACAACTCGAACGACATGCACGCGGCCAAAAACCAAAGCTATGGAGGAGGAGAAAAGTCACAATTTTGCGGTGGTTGCCAGAGAAGAGAGACGAGAGAGGAGTGGAGCGCGCCAAGAGAGAAGACGAGGACGATGACCTGTACAGTACCGAGGCCCCGTATTTATTATATTAATTTTAAAAAATAAACAAAACAAAATAAATAGACAACCAAAAAGACTTTCCAACAATAGTTGATGCAAAGGGGTGGGTGACGCTCCCAGAGTCGAACTGGGACCTCCTTTGCAGTTCGCAGGCAACTCATACCCCGTTGGGTGGAATACAGTTGTAGCATTACGGTGGCGCGCCAAGGCGCTGGCATCAGGCGGGATTCCACACTTACCCCAAACGTCACCCAGCCCCTCCAGCTGCTGCATGCGCAGTCTTGTGTGCCCCCAAGCTGATACAGGCCCTTTATTATGGGAAAGATAAGCTCTTTCCTGAAAAGGTTGCCAGGCACCTTTTCCAGGTCCCGCTTTTGGTTTTTCTAATTTTTTCCATATTTCGTTGTGAAAATTAAAAAAGAAATGCTGTTGGAAAAAAACTGTAGTTTGCACCAAATCACTGCAATTGTTTATTTGTGTGTTCACTTTGGATCCTCCCTTCATCCTCGCGCTTGGATCCTTTATTTTTCCATTCGTCGAGGAGAGGAATGTACAGGTCGCGCCCTGCCGCGGAGGAGACGGAGGTCAAGGTGGATCCCACCAAGCTGCGCTTCGACCCCAGCGCCATCGCCAAATACAAAGTGAAAGGACCTGGTACCTTGCTGCCCCCCTTCGTTTCCTACAAGTTTACCCATCTTCATCCTTCATCTCCGTCGCCTCGCATCCTCCGATTTTTCTCTTCAAGGGACCCCGTACATATATCAAAAATCAATATCATGTGCAGTATATTAATATTTTTAAATATCTAAATAGATATATTATATTGATTGAGAGCGAAAGATA